ACTTATTTGCCCCACTGTACAAGGTATTCGGTGCTTTTGGTAGACTGTATTGGTGAGATGTGAATTATACTTTATCAGTAGGCAGGTGAACATATTAAATGAGAGCCAAAAGCACTGTAAGATATGTTAAGTTTTTATGCTTTAGATCCAAAAAGTCAAGGTATTTTTCATCCTAAGGGAAATGTTTTTCTATATTTCAGGAGACATGGAGAACAGAGGCAGCCACTAGATGATATTTATGTTCATGAGCACATAGAAAATGTTTTTTGCTGCAAAGACGAGTGGCCTAACATACCAGTGGCCCTGGCATACTAGGGCAAAGGCCCAAAAAAGAATAATGACACAGGTAGTGGTAGAAGAGAGAAGGACAAGTGTGAGTGCATCATGCCTTTGGATTTTTTCACATCCGGCTCCGGCTCTGCCTCCCTGATAAATTGGCCCAGCTCGTTCACCTTCCCGAACGTCATCTTCCTGAGGAGACAGAGGAGAGAAAGGAGAGGAGATGGATGACGACAGCAAACAGAGCAAATGGGTCAACACTTAGCCTTCAACACCCACACAGGTAACATTCAAACATTTCAGTTTGTGTGTCAATTCAATAACTTCAATTTCAAGAGGGGGCCACTGCAGCTCTATCTTTCAATAAAACCATTCTCCTAAATTATATCACTGTAATGTCTAAGCACACTCATAAAAGCACTTAATGGCTGGGTCGATAAAAACAAAACAGATACCACAGATTTCACACAGCAGTGTGGGCAATCAAAACAACATAAAAGAGAATCAAACAAAGAAACACTGAGGGAATTTAAAGCACAAATTAGATAACAGCTATTCTGTGATTTAGGAAATTATTTAGCCATCTTAAAGCCAAACTGGTGGTTTTAACTCCTTTAACCCATCAGCTTCAAATGATACCAGGTATACTCTTTACAGCTGACCTTTTTTTTTTTTTTTAAAAAGCAATCCAAATATTTTATTTGAATCTGACCTTTTAGACAGCCACTGGTTTCCATTCATTTGACAGTATGAGACTGTGTACACCATGTAACTTAGGGATTCTGTTTTTGAACATGTGTATTCACCCATGTGACAATAAAGGAACATTAAACACACTCACCCAGCGTACGGCCTCTGGTACAGGGATTCAGGGTCCAAACTGGCAGCATCCACCGTGATCGCCTCATCAAAGTTTTTAAGTATCTTGATCGCGGCCTTTTTGGCAGCTTGCTACAGGGAAGACACCATGAACCGAATGTTTAGCATTAATACCACTTTTTATTCTTCTTTTTGGTGAAGACAATTGAATTACAGGAATGCTAACAGCCCTTTGGTATTAACAAAAATCTCTTCATAAGGTGGAGCAGGTGTAAATGTCAGGACACAGAGGAACATCCCCACAGGGGCTGAGGTTCAAGTCAGGGGTCACCTGAGTCTGGGAGCCCTCGCCGGCATTCGAACTTGAGCGGTCGTTGTCTGTGGGCCCACTCTGCCCTGGAGTGCTGACATTCACAAACTCATCCGCCCGCACTGAGTTGATGAGGTCACTCAGGTATTTGTAGTAAAGGTTGCTAGACAGGAAGCCTGGCATGTAGACCTGAACAAATGCAAAACAAGGGCAACTCTGTTAGAAAATAATGATAATAATTTATGTGCTAACAACAGTGCTGAGCTTATATTTCATTAACAAAAGGCAGATGATACATTTATCAGTGGTGTAATAAGACAATTAGCCAGTGACTCACAACACAGAACCTTTAGGAGGATCCTATTACACTTAAAACAGTTCAAGCAAAGAACTGAAGCCTTCATATCTCCATGTCCTGGGGTGCTTCATTCTACAGCTGAATATTCCCAATTTCCACATATGGTAAAAAAAAAAAAAAGAAGAAGAAGAAAACACTAGACGACCCATCGTTAATATTAAGGAGCTATTGGCGGGTGGCTATCGGAGGACCTGACCTTCTCCATGGTTGTCCAGGCCTGTCTGACTGGAGTGGTGAAACAATCAGGGAGGGGCCCTCCCTCTCGGCAGATATTTGACTCTATCTCCATCCGCACAAAGTCGCCAAAGCCCAGAGGGTTGGTAGCCTGGAGTGAGAAATACCTGGAGAGGAATGTGAGTGATGAAGTTGGGTTCAGTTGAGGGCACCTACAGTATATTAAGATTTTAATCAATTCCTAAAGTGCAGTTTGTGGTTCAGAAGAAAGTCTTCCCATCTTCAAATGACACAAATAAAACAAAAAACATTCCTCACAAAGAATACTTGTTTACTTGTTTTGAAAAAAGCTGTATCTGAAAATATATAGCCGACTTATGATATAAAATAATAGCAACAGGTTGGCGACTAACAATTATTTTCTTTATAAACCAATTGATGAATCCTTGGGACTACAAAAAGTATTTAACAAAGAGCCTATCACTTTCCCCAAATCCAGGGTGATGGCTTTATATTACTTGTTTTATCCAAAGTACAGGTAATCAATTTATTATCACTCTGCCAAAACAGGACTCACAACTAAGAAGCTAGAAACCAAGAACCTTCAACATTTTTGCTAAAAACAAACAAAAACAAAAAAGTAAGGTATGAAAACACTGTATCTTGGAGAAGAACAACACTGCAAAGCAGCAGAGAGAGAGAACCTACTTGTCGTAGAGGATCATGGCATCATTTTGAGCCTCCTGGCCATCATACTGGCCCTTTTTAGCTGCCAGCTGGTTCTGGAAGTTGTCTGCCGCCATCCAGAACTGCAGTATATTCATCGCCTCCTCCTTTTCCATGTACTGCAAGGAAGAAGATACAGGGCACAGGACAGTTCAGCTAAAGGTCCCTGTGTATTTCTGCAACATTCAAGCTTCATGACTGACTGAATGCTATGTGCATATGGTGACAGAAGTTCAGCTGCCGAGCGCTACTCTAACAAACTCTGACTCTGCATGTGGATGCCAATAGCTTAGGAAATGCTCAATGTCAATTGGTTAGGAAACCGTCAAGGGAAAATACACACAATTTTACATGTTTTCTTATATTTACTGTGTTGTCATTTTATTAGTGCTGTGATAAAAGAATTCCCCTCTGGAAAAAGCACAAACTAACAGAGGCTGTTTTGTAGTAGTGGCAACAAAGGACAAGTTTACAACTAAGAGTCGATAAGGCACAGGCTGTGTGTGAACCCAACAACACAAAAGCTTAATAGAACATTAATTGGTTGCCCACTTACTTCAGAGAAGTAGAAGAGAGCTGACTCGCAGAATAAGATGTCAGCCAGGAACACGGAGCCACTAGTCAACACTTCAATCTGGTATTTACAGAAATGATGGCTCCGCAGGAATTCACTAAAGTGCCTGGAAAGGAAAGGGCAAGTGGAAGCTGAATACAGCTGCTGCTGTGGATGTTGAGGTGTGAAATGACAAGAAGAGCGCGAGTTACACTTTCATCTGAATGTCAAAACATGTCAGTGGAGAAACCTTGCAGCACAAGTTTGAACTCTGCTGTAAAATAAACTGAATGAGACTCACTGTTGCTCCAAGATGGTGAAGACTACTGACTGTGCATTGAGAAAGCAGTTTGGGTCGACCATGCCATCCTCCCCACATATTTTAGCTACATGGAGGAAGGGCCAGTGATATAATTGCAAATAGAATATCATATATAACAGATTATTCAGTTTTTGATTTCAAAATGTAAGTAAATTCCTCCTGTAGCTTACCAACGATGTCGTTTCTGATCTGTTCTGTGATGGGGATGGGCCTTACAGCATCTGGAGAGATGTACTTGGTGAAGATGGTAACAGCATCTTTCTCTATACCTGACACACACATAGGCAAGTAGCTGATCATCCAATGATGCTAAAAGATAGACCGAAGCAATGTTTTGCCCCAGTGTATGTCCATAACAACTTATGAAATTCACCTGAACATAATGTGAAACTTTAAACAGACAAGAGTTAAAAATGGAAGCAGTTTTATGATGAACATTTAAAGTAAGGTTGCACTGATACCACTATTTTTCCAGGCTAATTACAAGTACTTACATTTGAGTACTTGTACTGATACAAGTACTTAATAACGCAGTGTTTCTACTACAAAAGTTACAATAACCATAAACAACTTCAGACAACTTTTATTTTCATGAGATCTACCTTCTGACTGATTAAATAAAATATACCAGGAGGCAGTGCAAATTTGAAAACTGTAATAAACAAAGCACTGCGACGCTACAACAATGAAAACAACATAAATGACTGAAGGTCTGTAGCCAACTGCGTAACATACTATAATACAGTGGTTTTTAGCCTTCATGGAAGTGCAGCTCTCCGTTAGGTCAAAATTATTCTCCAACCCCCACCCACATCAGCAAGTTTAATTTAATGAGGGTAAATGTTCTTCCTTTAAACTGGCTGCTGTCTGTGGCTTCACCCTGTCGTCGCTGCTGGACACACACCTGCTGGTCTCGGCCTCCAAGGATTCAACTCATCTTCATACACACAGCTCAGACTCCGTCATTAACCATGTAAAAAAAGAGCGTTTGTTTTTTCTTGTTCTCAACAATCCACTACAGTCAGCAGATCAAGCACCATGTAGGTTTAGTGGGTGAACAGGACCAGGAAGTTTGACCGTGGGGACAGTGAACCACTCAATGTTTTTCTCCACTGCCTAATGAGCAGCTCAGCTGTTAATTGGTATCTGTGTAAAGGATTGGTCAACATTTATGAGTACAAGTAGTAGAAGGTGGCATCAACCCCAATACTGGTATCGGTGAATCCCTCCTTTAAATAAATATATAAAAACCCAGAGGAATCAAAAGAAGAACATACGGTGTAAGTTTTAAAGCCAGCACTGTGGAGACTGGTACATCCTGAATGAATTTACAGTAGGTGGTCCACCGAGTATATGACACATGGAAACATTAGACAAACAGAAAGAAAACAGACAGTTTAAAACTAACTTACTTTTAATGAGTGTCTCCGAGAGGTCTCGCAGGGTGCTGTTTGACTGCACTTTGCTGGGAGTCCCTGTCCTGGAGGAGGGTGCCTGTCGGCTGGGTGTCTCTGCTCGAGGGGTGCCGAGGCTCAGACGTGTTTCCATGCTGGAGGAATCTGTAGGGACTTCACTACTACTGTTCCGGGTGACAGCACTGGGTGTGTGTGAGACTGTCTCCTGGAGCTCTGGGCCATCTGGAGAGGCAGGGACAGGCTCGGCCAATGAGCTGTGTTTGACAGAGTTTAGGCTGTGCGCTCTGACTCGCGACCAGCTGGTGGAGCGGAAACTGTCAGCCTCCAACAAGAAGTGAACCAGGTGGTCAGAGCCCCGGAGCTCCATGAAACGCATGAAGTGGGGCAGTGCCACATTGTCCTGAAGTACCTGGTCCACTGTCTTGGACAGCCGAGAGCGGGTCTCCTGGGGCTGATAGTTCACACTGGAATGACCTGGAGTTTAAGAAAAAAAAACCCACACAACTGAGGAATCAACAGAGAAACACATAGATATTTTTCATTTTGCTACATATTTTTGCATTCTAGTGAAAATTCTCTCAAATTTCAGTGCCAAGTGTATTTCATCACGTTAAAGATGATGCACGGTGAACCACTGTTGCATTGAACCTACATGTAATACATGTAGTCACAACTATTCAATAACTCAATAAAAAACAACAACATCTGATTTCTGTAAGAATGCAAAATTACTTCTAATTTCACCAACAGACTCTGTGTTTGAATAACATCCACATCCAGCAGCTACAAACTGCGTGGGGTGGCTCACGAGGTAGGGCAGTCGGCTCCTGACCAGCAAGTTGGTGGTTCGACATCCGGTCTCCCCGCATGCCTAAGTGTCTGAGCAAGACACTGAACCCCGAATTGCTCCCAGTGGCTTGACTAGAGCTGTTGTGTGGCAGCCTGTCGTCATCGGTGTGTGAATGGGTGAATGGTGCATCATCTCCTGTAAAGCGCTTTGGCCAGTGTAACACACTGTGGAAAAATGCGCTGTATAAATACAGTCCATTTACCATTTACCAAACAAAGAGAAAACTGGAGAAACAACTCCTGACAAAGCTGACACTTGCTGGGGCATGAACCACAACATCAGCTATAGTTAGAATGAAGTGTCCTGGAGATCACACAGTCAAGTCATGAAAGCTGTTATAGTGCAGCATCTGTATCGGAATCATCAAAGGGTCCAGCTTCATTAGCATATTTTTTCAGAGCCAGTCAATCTGTTACCACACACACACACACACACACACACACAGCCTCTGCTCTATACTCTTTCAACAACTTACAAAAGAGACCAAGCAAATCATATGATCATGCTCAACACTTCCTTCCTTTCTTTTCCTTGTGTTGAAATCCTGACAACACTGGCGCTCGGTGAGTTTTGTTCAGATTGTGTTGTCTGGGCTGTGGCACAGGTTCCTCCACCTGTCTGACACACCCAGGAATTTCCCTGGGCAACTTGCTTGTACAGTTTCTGTCAATGAGTGTTGGGAATATTTGGGTGCTAAAGCAATGCGAATACGTCACACACTAACAAAGGAGTGTGTGGCGCTTCCACGAGACAATTGGCTGTTTAAACCATTACAGTGATGCAAGAGTCACACTTTGGCACACTGTAGCTACAGAACATTATCACAGCATACCTAATTCTCCAATGGGACTTAAACAGGAGATAATGATGCTAACTTTTGTCAGATTAATTAGTGTTGACAATAATTAGTCACAGCACCACTCACTTTGCTTATCTTTCCTCTGCATCTGCTGTTACAACATATTTTTAGTTTGAGCAAATCTAAGCCAAATTTATGTAAATGACAGCCACAAACAACCAACCTCTTCCGACTCTTCAGTTACTAATCTACTTCAAATTTATATGGTCATGTTAATTTTGGTCTTTCTATGTGATGATTAAAAACATTACACAAACAGACTGACGCAGGCTCTGTACCTACCAAGATCGCCAAAGTGCGCAGCCTCCATGTGGCTCGGCTGCTTCTTGAGGATGGCCGTGCGACCACGGGCAAAGGAGTCCATGTTGGCAGAGATGGCGCTGATGGCCACATGGCTGGGCCCTGCAGCTTCCAGGAGTGCATGGTGGTTCCTCACTCCTGGTGATAGAGACTGAGGGCTGACTGGAGCTTGGTGTGGAGGAAAGAAGAAAAGGAGCAAAATGATACTAAACCTGCCTGGCATAACTGTATGACATAAGTGTGACTTGGTGAGGCCTCAGGGTGTGAGAGACACACTGTGAGCTGTTTGACTGTGAGCTGCATGTGTTTCACCTAATAGCTAGAGGTCACCGGTTTGGTCCTTGTGACAATATAAGAAGTAATGATTAAACCTTAAGAGTCAACTTAAGCAAATAACTACAGTGCCTATAAAAAGTATTCACCCCCTTGGATGTTTTACCCCTTTATTGATTTTATAAATCAATCATAGTCAATATAATGTGGCTTTTTTGACAAAAAAAAAAAATACAAAAAACCTCTTTAATGTCAAAGTGAAAACAGGTTTCTACAAAGTAATGTTAATTAAATAAAAATGTGAAATCAGTGACTGCATAAATATTCACTCAAAGAGAAAAACCACTGTTGGAAAAAAACAAAGTAATATTAAATCTCGACTAGAGTTCGCTAAAAGGCATGTGGGAGACTCCGTGGCCAAGTGGAAGAAGGTTCTTTGGTCTGATAAGACCAAAATGGTGCTTTTTGGCCATCAGACAAGACACTATGTTTGGGTGACACCAAACACTGCACATCACCACACACACACACACACACGTGTGTGTGACCATCCCCACAGCGAAGCATGGTGGTGACAGCATCATGCTGCGGGGATGCTTCTCTGCAGCCGGCCCTGGAAGGCTTGTAAAGGTAGAGGGTAAAATGAATGCGGCAAAATATAGGAAAATCCTGGAGGACAATCTTATTCAGTCTGCAAGAGAACTACGGCTTGGGAGAAGATTTATTTTCCAGCAAGACAATGACCCAAAGCATACAGCGAACGCTTCACAGAAATAGCCTAAAGACAACAAGGTGAGTGTTCTGGAGTGGCCGAACAAAAGGGTGTGCAAGCCTGACTGAGACCTGTCCACACAGACTCAGTGCTGTGATTCCAGCCAAAGGTTTGGCCAGCCATCTACTACATACTGACTTGAAGGGGGTGAATGTTTATGCAGTCACTTATTTCACATTACAAATTTTTATTTAATTGACATTACTTTGTAGAAACCTGTTTTCACTTTGACATTAAAGAGAAAAAAAAAGCCAATCAATATATGACCATGATTAATTTATAAAATGAATAAAAGAGTAAAACATCCAAGGGGGTGAGTATTTTTATAGGCACTGTACTTGAATCACGTCCTTCAAAAGGCTACTCTCAACTGTATGAGCACACACTGATGCAAGCACAGCTCAGAGTGGCCAAAGGTCGACAAATGCACCACTAATAACCACGTTATTTGATATTAAATACCTCTGTAGTGTCACATCTTGTTTTTGACAAGTCCTTAAAACAAGACATTTTCAATTCAACATTGTGTGATACTTTTATAGCCTTATAAAGGTAACAGTGAACTCACCTCTATTGACTTTAGCATCTGTCACCCTCTCAGGTTCTTTGCTTTTGGCTGTAGGAAGAAAGGTGAGTGCAGGGTTATAACCAGGGCAGCACACAGCATTTTGATTCACATCCTAAGGCAAAACCAGGGAGCCAAAAACAAAACAACACACATGAGATTCATTGAGGGGTTAGTTAAAGAGGTTGGTGTGGTGTCAATGGAAAGACTAGAACCCAGTATCTAGTTACATACACCATTAGTCAGAAGTTTGGGGTCACCTCCATTTTTCCAGTTGTTATCAGGTTGATTCAACAGCTGAACACACTTGCGGTGTTCTTTGTACATCTGAGATCAAATATTGTTCAGATAGACAGCACTGTAGCAGAAGTTCCCACACGTGTGTTGCACTTGTAGGCAGCGTTAATTTTGACACCTGAATCTGATTTTTTTTTTTTTTTAGCCTTTTGACAAACCAACATATTAGTTTTATCCTGCTTTCTATGGCAAGGGAAAACCCTGCATTCCATCATCTAACGCAACCATCTTGTTCTTTTCTTCAATGTAGGATGGAGGTGTATGTTTCAGGTCACTATCCTGCTATAGGATGAAACTCTGAAAAGCTTTGATTTCCTTTGTTCATGGCCTTTTTCCAGAAAATGCTTCAGAGGGTGTAACACAGTCTTTTCCAACACTGCCTTTGTAAAGACAGAATTAGTTGCAAGTAAACACTGGGACTGCTGGAGGAATTGTTTGCATCATTTCTCAAGGCTTCACCTACTTCCACTGTTGCAGAAAAGATGTGTGTGACCTGACCCCTGATAAAGGCCTGGTTTATATCTAATTTACACACTTTTTTAGTTTTAGGTGACTTTTTAGTTTCAGTTTACTTCTTAGCTTTCTATCATTTATGGTTATTCATTGGACGTGAAGTGCTTCAGTGTCAACAAAAACTGGAACAATGAGGTTGTTCTAAAACTAATAACCATTAGTGCAATGACATAATAAGGAAACTGACCTAGACTGCTAAAAAAGCAACAGTGAAAAACTAACCAATAGCTTATTACAGTAACTTAGCTCAGTGTGGTGGAGTGTCACACAGCTTGGACCTGAAGTCCTCCTCTGACAGTAACATACCTTAGTCTAGTGAATAAGCTAAAAGTATGTGGCCTGTTGAAAAGCTACTCAACATCCCAAATGTCTGACACTACTCCTGAGCTCAGTGTCTAACTGTCAAAAAAAGATACTGATGAAATATTTAGCCTGCAGTGGCAGACATGATGGCACCCACTCAATAGAGTGACTCACCATCCATTATCTTCAGATAAAACTGCTGTTGCAGGCCAAGTATCAGTTTCAAGCACTGACAGTACAAAACAGACTGAGAGGCCTGGGCAAACAGTCCAGAAGATGCGAGACTTTTGAGACAGAGCTGTCTGTGAATACATGTGTCAGTCAAGAGTCAGAGTTGGCTGGCCCTGACAGGCTGGCTGTGCCTGAGCTCCAACAACCTCTGCTGCACTGAACTGAAACACAAATATCACCAGACATCTTGGCTCTAAATAAATATTGATCAAATGGATGTTATGGTTACCAAAACAGGTGTGTTCGGGATGTATTACCAGAAAACTTAAAGAACAGTGTGCAAGAACACAATATGCTGAAAATAGGTTTAGTGGTAAACATCAGTAAAGAAAAATTCCATACATTTCAACCATGTCCAACTCAAGGAGGACAATCACTTCCTGTCACCCTGAGTGTCATCCTGGTTCAGAACGTTAAAAATACATTTAATCTAATACTTCTTCTTTTAAGAGTACTGCTGTGTCTGCTGCTTTGACCTCAGAAAGCATAGGATGAAGAACTGCTCATGGCTGTGATTTCCTGAAGGACCTATTAGATTTCAGCTGAAAACCAGCATTAGTACAGCGTAGTATGTAATGAGTCCTGCTTCTTCTTCACAGTCCGCCACCTTATTATGGACACCTCGATGAAGCTAATGCAGTACGATACAGCTGCCCTGCAATAAATGCTCCCTTCATGAGGGCTACAATGTTCAGTTTTGTTTAAATTACTTTAGTTAGTGGTCATTGAGTAGATATTACAGTATTTATTACAAGGCTGAGATTTGAGACTGCATCAGTTTTAGTTAGGTGTCCCTAATAAACTAAGTGTAACAGAGGTGCACTGTGCCACATGCACAACCGTGTTTTAAATATTTCCTAACTCTAAGAGATTTTATGTCATGCTATATAATTCTTCTACTTGGTAGGATGCCTGCACATGTTGCTCACAGACAGGTCCACTTCAATCTCACTACTTCGTTTTGGACAATGCTGCCTAGTTTTGCTTAAGTTATTTAACGTTACATCCCTTGCTGACGTTTCGTAATAATGACTGGACACAGGTTAGAATATTCAGACACAACGGAGACTTATTGAATTTTTAAAAACATTTTCTACTTGTTAAAGGGGTTAGAACACGTCCTGATAAAGCTAATGTTACCTTAACTAGCATCCATAGTGCAGCTCGACATCTGAGTCTGCTATCACAGTGCACATCGAGGGTTTTTTTTGTGTGTTTTTTTAATTGTAAAGAACCATTTTACACATACACTAGCAGTGATGTACCTAACTGGTGTACTGCGGACAGCTGGGGTTAACACTAAGTTAGATAAGGCAGAGAGGATGGAAGCCAACGCTAAGATAACCGTGTCTGTGCAATGAACAGGAAACGTTTCCTCGCGGTGTCTCGGCTGATTAACTACAGTTAGCAGCAGCAGCCGCAGTCTCGACCACGTTAGTTACATCTCATCAAGGACCACTGTCTTCTCAGCCGGGCCCTCTGTGCTACCAGCTGCCGCTGACGATGCAGCCATCAGCGGGAGCTTCTTCCTCACCTTTCCACTTGAAAAACGACATGACGGGTCTGACACTCTGGACGTTTCCTCAACTCACTGACAGCATCCCGTGAATTCGCGGCTCCCTTCATTCAAATACATCTATTCTGGACAACTCTGAGGTGGAAATGAGTTATTATCACAGCCCCGGTAGGTGCTGTCAAATCAAAATTTTCTCCAAATCCCGATCTACTTCAGCAGCCATATTGTCAATAAACGTCTTACTTCCGTGCTGGTGCAGCAGCAGCATTATGGGAAATGTGTTTCCTGCTGTGGTCACAAGGGGGCGCTGTTTCTTCTTCTTCTTCTTCTTCTGTTGTTTAATGGCGGTTGGCAAACAACTTTAGGTTCATTACCGCCACTTTCTGGACTGGAGTGTGGATCAGAACAGACTGCTACTACTATTACTATAATAAAATAACCTCAGTTCACATTATTTCGTTTTGCTCAGTCCTGTACTCTCTATGAACCTAAGACGTGCTCTGTATCGTATCCTTTATCCCCTGAGCTTTTTTTTCAACACCTCCATCAAACTAAAGTTCATTCCACTGCTTTGAACTATATTTTTAAATAACTCCCTCCTGAACCTGGGACAAACCATAATATGTTCCACATTTTCCTTACCCTACAAAACTTATACTGGAATATAAGAAGGGCAAACAAAAACATGCAGTCCAAACTGCGGTAGTTACAGTATACACTGTCAGGTTAGTGCAGATGTAATCATTTTTCTTGGGTATCAAGTTGAGATTTTTCTTAAAATGAACACAAACAGCAACACAAATCATCTTAGCAGGAACTATTTGAAGGTTCCACATTTATTGTTTATTTAAGGGTAACCCATATTGCCAGTTGCATTTGGTGAACAAAAAGACTAGATGATCCAAAACACTTTTATTACATGAAATAGAGTAATACTGTTGACAGGAAATGTACAAGAATTGTAAGAAATGTGACTTAAGAGCAAAGATTTACAGAAATAATACTAAGTCATCTTTTTTTTTCATTTTTTACTAAAATTGAAGTTTTTGTTGGGCATTATACACAGAATTTAATGTAAATCACATACTGCATGATTCATGTAGCTTATCAAGAGATGCCCTGCAGCAAACATTACTGATTTATTCCTTCAGTTTTTCAATCTCGTCCAACCCTGTGAGTCTCATTGGGCCTGTCGATGCGGTAAACAAACTCTGCAGGCATGAAGTAGCCCAAGTACTCCACACTGTCAGGTGTGGTGTCTATGTAGTAGTGGCCACCTTCTCCATGGTGGCTGAAGCAGTGGGTGTGCTCCACACGCAGGTCCAAACCCTTAAATACACAACAAACAAATGAACAGAACCATTACAAAGCAGACTACTTTGCAAATGCACTGCTAATACAGTACTGTAGGTGCTCAAATCATAAACTGATCTTGTTTCATCTGTCTCACTGAGATGCGATGGTGGTGGCTTTACTTACTGGATCTCTGGATACAAGCACTGACTGGCAGATGAGTGGAGCGCTGAACTCAAAGTACTTGAGCCAGTTGTTGACCTCATCATTAGTGTTGAGGGGGCAGACTGAGAACTCTCTTGGCTATGGATAAGGTGACACAAGGAAAATAAATGAATCCACCAATCCTGACAGTAACGATCAGTCATGCATTCTGCCATACAGTACTTACCATGATGTGGATTTTAGCTTTCCCTTTCTGGATAACGAAGGTGCCTCCCAGAGCCAGGCTTTTATTGGGGTAACAGCTTTCGAGAGTCTTCCTCAAACACGTAACAAGACTGTGGCTTCCTGTTCTCTTCTTGGCCCGCACCTCTATGACCTGGAGAAGCATACAGTACAAGGGAAGAGGACATAAAACATCAAACATCAGCTTGTATAGTCACTGCCATTTTGTTAATGTTTATTCTTTCAAAATTTAGGAGCCCAAATGTGATGGGGCTGATGTTCAAACACAACACGTTTAGCAAGAATATTAACTTGCAGATAACTGTGTTTAAGTTCATATCTAATCAGGGACCTTTATTGCAAATGCAAAAGAAACATAATAAGAATGTATTTTTATGGATCCATTATTCTGTGAGGCAAACAGTGGCTTGTTGTGTTAGATAAGACTGAGTACCTTTCCAGACTTTCCTTCACAAGCATACAGATTGCCCAGCAGTCCAAAGCTGCAGTTGGAGAATTTGTCACTGTATTTCTCTTGCAGACACTGGCCATCAGCTGGATTGATGGAGGAGAAGTAGCTGCTGTTCACTGCAGGTCTTCCCTCCGCTTCAGTGAGAACCAGAGGCATCAGCTGTGGGTGAGAATATTTATAACATCTCCTGTGTCACAGCAACCTTTCTCAGAGTTTACAACAACAACATGACACTTTGCTGTAGGTAAATCCACTGATTTATTCTCCACCCTCAACGGGGAGGATCCGTGAGCAGTATCTTACTCACAGAGGATGTGTGAAAAGTACTTTTTGCTTCTATTTTCCCACCATTGTACATCAGCTTTCAGGTTGTGGATATATGCCTAAATGCTAATCTCCACATCTCCACGTTTCAGTATTTAGAGCACCAACTGGTCCCAGAGACAGTGTTGTAGTCGAGTCACTAAACATTGAGTATTGAGTCCCCATTGTTCAAGTCCGAGTCTCAGAGGTCCACATTAAACACAACTGACACAACTCTCACCATTTTTAAAGGAGTTTACTCCTGTGTGCAACACAATATTCAAACAAATGCATTCAAAAGTGCACAAAAAGAACTGAAGACATCTTCATCAGGATCTGACGGTATGATGCCAAATTGTTGCTTTTAGCCGTGTGGAATCAAAAGTATTATTTTTAAAACTGAATAACCTCTGCGTTCATTCCAATGATCCTAGAGGGAGCAGCTGCTGCACCGAGGATGAAGGCTCCTGGCAACTCCAGTTCCTTTGATATAGTGTCCATGTTGTATTCCTAGGTGGAGGAGGAGGGAGAAGATTAATACCATTTCATGTCATTTCCTTGCAGTATTTTCATTCACTGTACACATATAGTATATTTTCATACACTGCACTGTACTTAGAAGAAAATCTACCTTGTGTTTTTGAACCAAGGGAACCAGGTACGGTACACCACCAACATCAGTGATACGAGGCTTTCCACACAAGCCTACAGCATTACATCAAGAGAAAAACATTACATAAAATGTAATAAATGAATGCTAACACTATATATAATTACAACTCAGGTACGCTACACATTTAACAAAGTGTCAACTTGTGCATAAAAGGAGTAAATATACATACAGTATTGTTCAAAATAATAGCAGTACAATGTGACTAACCAGAATAATCCAGGTTTTTAGTATATTTTTTATTGCTACATGGCAAACAAGTTACCAGTAGGTGCAGTAGATTCTCAGAAAGCAAACAAGACCCAGCATTCATGATATGCACGCTCTTAAGGCTGTGAAATTGGGCAATTAGTTGAAAGGGGTGTGTTCAAAAAAATAGCAGTGTCTGCCGTTGACTGTACAAACACAAAACTATGTTGTACAAACGTTTTTGTTTCTAGGATTTAGCAATCCTGTGAATCACTAAACTAATATTTAGTTGTATGACCACAGTTTGTTATAACTGCTTCACATCTGTGTGGCATGGAGTCAACCAACTTGTGGCACCTTTCAGCTGTTATTACACTCCATGATTCTTTAACAACATTCCACAATTCATTTACATTTCTTGGTTTTGCTTCAGAAACAGCATTTTTGATATCACCCCACAAGTTCTCGATTGGATTAAGGTCCGGGGATTGGGCTGGCCACTCCATAACATTAATTTTGTTGGTTTGGAACCAAGACTTTGCTCGTTTACTAGTGTGTTTGGGGTCATTGTCTTGTTGAAACAACCATTTCAAGGGCATGTCCTCTTCAGCATAAGGCAACATGACCTCTTCAAGTATTTTGACATATGCAAACTGATCCATGATCCCTGGTATGCGATAAATAGGCCCAACACCATAGTAGGAGAAACATGCCCATATCATGATGCTTGCACCACCATGCTTCACTGTCTTCACTGTGTACTGTGGCTTGAATTCAGAGTTTGGGGGTCGTCTCACAAACTGTCTGTAGCCCTTGGACCCAAAAAGAACAATTTTACTCTCATCAGTCCACAAAATGTTCCTCCATTTCTCTTTAGGCCAGTTGACGTGTTCTTTGGCAAATTGTAACCTCTTCTGCACGTGCCTTTTTTTTAACAGAGGGACTTTGCGGGGGATTCTTGAAAATAGATTAGCTTCACACAGACGTCTTCTAACTGTCACAGTACTTACAGGTAACTCCAGACTGTCTTTGATCATCCTGGAGCTGATCATTGGCTGGGCCTTTGCCATTCTGGTTATTCTTCGATCCATTTTGATGGTTGTCTTCCGTTTTCTTCCACGTCTCTCTGGTTTTGCTCTCCATTTTAAGGCATTGGAGATCATTTTAGCTGAACAGCCTATAATTTTTTGCACCTCTTTATAGGTTTTCCCCTCTCCAATCAACTTTTTAATCAAAGTACGCTGTTCTTCTGAACAATGTCTTGAACGACCCATTTTCCTCAGGCTTTCAAATGCATGTTCAACAAGTGCTGGCTTCATCCTTAAATAGGGGCCACCTGATTCACACCTGTTATTTCACAAAATTGATGACCTCACTGATTGAATGCCACACTGCTATTTTTTTAACACACCCCTTTCAACTAATTGCCCAATTGCACAGCCTTAAGAGCGTGCATATCATGAATGCTGGGTCTTGTTTGCTTTCTGAGAATCTACTGCACCTACTGGTAACTTGTTTGCCATGTAGCAATAAAAAATATACTAAAAACCTGGATTATTCTGGTTAGTCACATTGTACTGCTATTATTTTGAACAGTACTGTATAAGGAATGCCTCTGCCATCCAGATGTGTACTGTATAGGCTATAGTTATGTGACACGTGAGTTATGCATCTTCTTCTTCTTCCGGCTGTTCCCATTAGGGGTCACCACAGCGAATCATCTGTTTCCACCTAACTCTATCCTCAGCATCCTCTACTCTCACACCAACTAACTTCATGTCCTCTTTTAGCACATCCATATATCTCCTCTTTGACCTTCCTCTTGACCTCTTGCCTGGCAGCTCCATCTCCAACATCTTTCTACCAGTATAACCACTATCCCTCCTCTGCACATGTCCAAACCATCTCAATGTGGCCTCTCTGACCTTGTCCCCAAAACAGCTGACCTGAGCTGTCCCTCTGATGTGCTCATTCCTAATCCTGTCCATCCTGGTCACTCTTAAAGAGAACCTCAACATCCTTATCTGTGCTACCTCCATTTCTGCCTCTTGTGTTTTCTTCACTGCTACAAACTGCCAAAAGTCTTCTTCTTCGTCTTTTTGCTGTGGTTTTTGAAGGATTTCTGTGAGTTAGGCTGCCTCCTCTTCTCCAGTCAGACTTCTTCTTTTTACCAACTGTCACTGTCTCTGGCCTTCAGACAGCAGTCACTTGGAGCTGTTGTTATCTCTTGGTCCACACCCAGGCAGTGCCTGTAACCACCAACTGTTACCATGACTCAATGTTGATTTTTCTCCATTTGTCTTCTTTCTCACCTTCTTTCTTTACTTAAATATTTAATTTTAACTACAAAGCCACATTACATATTTTTCATCAAAATTAATGTTGCAATAGGAGATTCCTGTCTGACCTCATCTGTCAACCTGTCCATCACCATAGCAAACAAGAAGGGACTCAAAGCCGATCCTTGATGTAGCCCCACCTCCACCTTGAACTCCTCTGTCTGACCTACAGCACATCTCACTACTGTCGTACTCCTCTCATACATATCCTGAACTACTCTGACATACTTCTCTGCCACTCCTGACATCCTCATACAGTACCATAGCTCCTATCTCGGCACTCCGTCGTATGCTTTCTCTAAATCCACAAAGACGCAATGCAGCTCCTTCCGACCATCTCTATACGTGAGTTAAGCATGAAGTGTTTATAACGGACTCTTACCTTTGACAGGAAACTGGAATGGATCTTTGGTGAGATCTGGGCACTCCGCAACACTCACTTGAACTTCTGCAAAGTTGTCCTCCAGTCCTGCTTGTAATACTGTAACCAGCAAAAATGACTCTTTATGAACATCTTGTTGTCTAACCATGCCGTTTTTGCCACTTTTGTCTTTATATCAAAGCTCAAGTCCTTACCACTGCGCAGTTCTTCTAGGCCTGGAGCGTGCAACGGAACCTTCTCAGTTTTGCCAACATCTGCCATAATTGTACTTCTGGGTGAACGTACCAGCAGCCTGTCCGCGGTGCAGGAAAAGTCGATTGTCAAAGGGAGAAACTCTGCTCTTTGGCTAACATTCCAACGAAGAGTAAATACTAACAAGATAGTTCATATCCCAGACAATAGCGCATCGCCTGCGCAGCTAGTTTACTAGCATGACAGCTGAAATTTACATAGAGTAATATTGTAATGAACCAGTCCTTAGAAAGTAAAGTAGACATACTTAAAAACTTGGAGATTAGTTTTGTTTGTCTGATGTTTACACTGAAATATGAAAAGAATGTGTGATAGGCAATGACAGGGGAGTGTAGGCAATTACAGATATTTCAAATGAATTAAAAAAAAAAACCGTGTGTATATATAATTTATAAACTATACCTGTCTCAATTTTATAAACAATACCAGTTATATTATATAAACAAACCCGTTGTTAGGCGAAAAAGACGAGTAAGAACGAGTCAAACAGCCATCCATCCATTTTCTTTACAGCTTATTCCAGAATAGGGTTGTGGGGGTACTGGAGCCTATCCCATCTGGCACTGTGCGAGAGGCGGAACAGGTTGCCCGGCTATCACAGGGTTGTCACTTAGAAACAAACCAACCACCCACACTCAGCCTAAGCTGCATGCCTTTGGAATGTGGGAGGAAGCCGGAATACCCGGAGAGAACCCAGAGCATGCAAACTCCACACAGAAAGGCCCTAGGTCGGCCTGGCCTCGAACCCGGAACCTTCTTGCTGTGAGAAATCGGTGCAGTTCAAAACGGAAGTAGAAAGAACTCTCTTAACTCCTCTAGAGATTCTTTTTTTAAATGAAAAAATGTAGTTTCCTCTTGTGATTCTTGCCTCCGCTTTGGTAATTGGTCAGACGATTATTCGTCACGTTGATGACGTTTAAATACTTCCTGGTTGAACGGAAACCACATGGGGAGTGTATACTTTTTTAAAAAAACAAATCCCTTTGTTTTTGTAGAACTGCACATTGGTTTGTATTATTAACGACATGTTTAGTTAATATTTTATTATGTATATTCAGCGGACCTTAAATCAGACAAAACTATCACATTTCGACTATCGTTTCGTTGAAGGATCCAAAAGAATTCATTAGCCTGGTATTTCTAACCAAAGGCGGCCGCTATGTTGATCGTTATCTTTTGCTAAGCTACACAAGGACAAAAATGCGAAATTCTTTGAACTGGACTCAGTCGGATGCTATAGCTGAAGCTGTATCAGCGGAGTCCTGCCACATTGTCTTGAATACACCCCCGATAGATTATGTACAGAAAATTTCGCGGTATCTGGAGTCTTCTGTGGGACAGAGCAGGCAGGACAATGTATCCGGTGACAATGCTGAGGCAGAAAGGTAAGGAGGTCCCTTTATATGTGACAGTAATGATACAGCTTCTCCTTCAACACCAGCCAGAAAGTGCTCCAAATCGCCTTTCTAAATGTAGAAGTGTGTGTCTGCAGCGATTCGGGAGACAGCCTGTTCATCACTCAGAAGCCAGTGCCCGAGGCTGTGAGAACAGGACGACGGCATCACTACAGCTTGAGGTCCCAACCAACATTTCCCAGATATCTAGAAGAAAGTGGAGATGACACCTCATCTTCTGATTACCATGGAAAATCTAGAACTGATGAAAAGAGGACAAGAAAGAAATTCAAACTGCCCAAATATAGTTTCCCTTTCCTCAGAGAGAGGAAGGGGAAACCCAGGAGCACTCTGTTGTTTGCCAAGCAGAACAAAAGACTTCATGTAAGAATAACCATATCTTAAATATGTGTTTGCTGACTGTCGTTACATAACTTTATTTTGTGTTTGGCAGGTGTTATTTAGTGCTAATGTCTTTTGCTCTTTGTACAGACTTATGCAACGGGAGGCTTCTTTAAATGTGTCAGAGAGCTGTGGCAGGGGTATCAACGAGACGATGATCTGCTGTCATCCTTACCAACTCTGGACATAGACAGGACGTACATATCTCCATTGTCAGAGTAAGTTTATTTTAAAGAATAGTTTTGTTAATTAGTAATTTTTATTTGAAGTCACATGTAGAGTATAATTTCAACATTTTGGTTTCATCAGCCCTGCCTAAACTACAACCTATAGACTAATCTCCAGCCTTCTATTTTTTTTTTAAGTAAAGTCTTACAGAAACTGGCGTAGTTACAGTTATCGTTTTCTTAACTAAAACAATAAGTTAGAAATATTTCAGTAAAGTGATGATATTAAGAAAAATGAAAATACCAGTAAATAATTTGGTGCAGCTTGGTCTGAGAGCAGCTTTTGATACAGTTGAACACATAATTTTAAATAGACTGACGTAGCACACTGGTCTCTCGGAACAGTTTTTAATTGGTCTGTCTCTTATCTTTCTTTGTCTCAACAGGGGCTAATCTTTCTAGACACTCTAAAATAACTTGTGTGGTTCATCAGGGATCACTTTTAGGGCCACTTCTTTTTAGTCTATATATGTAAACCTTCACTGGAGTCATCAAGAGACAGGGCATCTCTTTCCAGCTATGCTGATGACACACAAAACCAGTTGACGCTCTTTATACATGCCTTTTAGATGTCACTGCCTGGATTTCACATAACCTTTTTAACCAGGATATACCTGCTATTTTGGTCAAGGCTCAGAGAAAGAAACTAGCCTCAAAATCAAATTCTGTCAGTCTTACTCTGAGCCATTTGTTTAAAAAGTGCCTTCTGTTGCCTTTGACTCAAACTTCAACTCAAGCAAATCTACAGAGCTAAAATGCATCCCAAAAACATCACAAATCAGTGATCAACAACTCTGATGCTAAAAAGCAGATAAGAACATATTACACCTATTTTAAAGTTCTAACATTGGTTGCCGTCATTTTTTGTACAGATTTTCAAACAATGTATTTGTCTTTATAGCATTTGCACTGGTTTACTTGTCTGACATGCTTACAGTATATGAACCAGAATGGCCTCTCAGGTCCTCTGGCACCACGAGGCTTTCAGCTGTTCCAAAGTACAGGACAAAAACATTTGGTGAGACAGCTTTTAAGTTAACGTTCTGTGCCATTGGAACCATCTGCCCAAGGGTCTGATAGCAGCTGAAAGTGTTATCTTTCAACAAAAACCTTAACTGTACATCTTTAGCCTGGCTTTAGATTAGAATGCTTTATGACCATTTTTTATTTCTCATGTGCATTAGTCTCAAATTGTTTTGTTTACCGAAAGATAATGTGTATAAGTAAACTTTGACTGGTAATAAAACACATCTATTCTGTTATAGAGAAGAAAGGTCAGAAGATGAGGACATCAAAGTGGTGGTAAGCATCCTGTTAAAAGGTGAACTAATGAGTCTCAAAACAGTCAGAGTGTGAACTTGACTATATTCTGTGTGTGCCATCTTGTAGGCAAAGAAACATTTTGTAGCTCCATCAAAATCAAAGTGCTCACAACTTTGGTACGCTCCAGAGAAGATGGACATCCAGGTACAACAACAGAGGAGGAGGAGGAGAACTAGTACTACCAGGCAGGAAACATCGCAAGCAAAGCAAAGCAAGATATTTCATAAAATATCATCTAAGATGTCCATATCGAGGCCTGTACTGTTGCCTTCAGATATAGAGAGCTCTGATGATGGAGATCCTTCATGTAGTGTTCTAGCTGAGAGAGAGACAAGGGATAAATGTGTGACAAGTGACAGAAGCATCCTGGCCCAAACTGAAACATCAACGAGAACAAGACGTCTTACCAGAGCAAAAAAAGCCATTATTTTTCAGAGAAAAGAAAGGGAAGAAGAGCTGTGTAGCGATAGTGATGCTACAGTTTGTGAGCCACTTAAGCTACATGAAAGTCCAAGTAAATCGGCACAGAAGGGCAGAGAACCATCCACAACTGTATCAGAAGCTCAAACTGATGCTTTCCACATAGATGATCCATCCCAGACACAACAGGCAGAGGATGAGCCTGAAAACCAAAGTCTCCTCCAAAGTCTCCCAGACCTTCTAAGTGACACTAATAATGATAAGATATGTAGCGCAACCAAGATAAAGAAGAAGAAGAAAAAAGAAAAAAGTGATAATGAAAGTGTAGAAGAAGGAAAGGGCCAGGGTCATGAAAAGCCAGAAGGTCAACATGTAGCAACATCTGTGAATGTGGAGGCAGGAGAAACTCCCTTCCTGGCTGAGGGAAATAGAGCAAAGCCCCTGGCATTGCAGACTGGTGATGAGCTGGAGCTGAGTAAAAACAATTGGATGGAGAACTTGTCATATGATGATAACATACTGAGATGGGAGGAGAGAGACAGTCCTGATTCAAAAACAGTGAAAAAGAAGAGGAAAAAGAATAAATCCACAGCAGAAAATGTTAAGCAGGATGTGGAAGTAAATGTAGAGTCTGGTGTGAGAGTGGAGGATTCATTTAACATGGAGGATAGTATCAAGAAGAAGAAAAAGAAAAAGAAAAGGAGTGCTGCGGATGAAGAAGATGCTGAGCAGCTGCAGTCTAGCCCAGTTGCAGAACCTCTAAATGATGACACCGAGACACAGAGGAGAAGGAAGAAAAGGAAAAAAGAAAAAAGGATTGTAATTCCTGAGGAACACGAAGAAGAACAAGTATCAAATATAATTTCAGATCTGCCCCCAGTGCCAACAGAAGAACAATTGGAAGAAACAGGAAATAGTTTAGAAAATACTGAAGCTTTGCAAGAAACAATAGAATACAGTTATAAAAAGAAAAGAAAAAAGCACAAAAAGAAGCAACAGTCATTTTCTAATGATGCTACTCAAGTTGGAGCAGAAGATAATGTGGATGTGCACTTGTCTAATGGTGCTGTAACCTTGGAAGGACACACAGGTATGTATGTTAAGAAGAAGAAGAAGAGGAGAGAAAACATCTTTGAGGAGGCAGATATTTCTTACACTCCTGACAAAAACAACAAAGTTGAAAATGCACGCAATTTCCTTGAAACAAGGGAGAGCCTTGATGACCAAGATGCTCAGTTGGTGGCTAGGAAAAAGAAGAAGAGAGAGAAAGTGAGTGAAACATGTAGCAGACATGTCTCAGAGGACACTGTGGCACAAAGTGATCAGTGGGCATCTGTACGGAAAAGGGAAAAGAAGAGGACCCCTTCCTCCCTCACTGCTGATTCAGAGGAAAAACGTGCTCAGTCACACAAAGAACAAAACTCTTCTTCAGAAGCTGTAGCTGCTCAAGTCAGTAGTGCAGAAAAGCCTGGTGTCAGCGCTGATGATTTTCAGACTGAATCAGCAGAAATCGCCAGAAATTCTAGTGTTGGGGTAAGGAAAAAGAAAAGGAAGAAGAAGAAGAATGAGACTGTCAATAAAGACCATGAGCCGGATTTTCAAACACACCAGAGTGCTTTATCTGAAAGCACTGACACAGGGGTAAAGAAAAAAAAGAAACGCAAGAGGACTGAGAGTGAGTCTATGACCTTCATGGATGAACTGGACAGTGCAGCTGATGCAGGACATTCTCAGTCTGATGAGGCTGTGGCATTAAAAAAGAAGTGCCATGTGATACAGGAGAGTCCGTCAACTGCCACTGAAGATACTGAATCAGAAAGAGCTACAGTAAATACTATTAGCTCTGTTTCACAAAAGAAAAAGGGCAAATATGGTCACAACACTGAAATATCTCATGGTAGCAGTATCTGTGACCGAGCTACCAAGGATACGCTGAATGTTGCTGAACATGCTTTGCCATCTTCAGAAACTCCTGGAAGTCGGGCATTAAATGACACACGAGAGAAGAAAAAGAAGAAAAAAACTAAAGCCACTGCTAATGTTTTGCTTGAGGGGAAATTGTTGACCAAATCTGCTGAAACAGAGGCCAGTAAAAGCAAGAAGAAGCCAGCAGTTGTTCCCAGTTTCACGTCCAACAGCCCTGTGTTGTCCGAGACCTCGCTCACATCATTTGAAATGTCCTCCACAGGCAGCAGCAGGGCAACCAAGCAACAAAAGGCCAAGCGCAGACTTTACAATCCAAATGGGGACTTCCTCACAGACTTTTAGTTGGAACTCACTGATGGGTGTTTGACCAGTTCATGAATTCCCAACAGGGACATAGACACACAAACTGATGCAGCAACCAACATTAAGCTGCTAATGTTTTTAGAATGATAGTGTTTTAGGCTTTCAGAATGGTTTTCAATGTATTTTGCTTTGTATCAAAGCATTTTACTAATATAGCTTTCAACCATTTTGGAGTTGAGATTAATTCACCATAGCCAACCAAAGATTTTTTTCCATTATAAATCTCCAGACTGGAAATGGTAATATTTGGAAGAAAACTTTTCATCAGCTTATAACTAAATAATCACAGTTAATTTGTTTGTGATCACACTTGAGTGAGGAACATAATCTTGGAGGGTACTTGGAATTTAGTTTTTTATGTTATGAATTTTAGCCCTGTCCAGGGTGTACCCCGCCTTCGCCCGATTGCCGGCCGGGATTGGCTCCGGTCCCCCCGTGACCCCACTCAGGGAACAAACGGTAGAAAATGAATGAATGAATGAATGTTTTGAATTCAGCCACATTGTCAACTAACATCTAGCTGTTTTAAATAAAAGTCAAAGTCAGTTTTAGTTTTCACACAAACAGTGAGGAAACAAATTTTTTCTTATCCTTGTCTTATTTGAGTATATAGCTGTACCATTTCATAGAAATTGTAAACTCAGATTTAAAATAAAGTCAAGTTAAAGTAAAATTTGTTTGTTCTTTTGTAAGAAGCTGGCCTGTCAGACTCTGAACTGGTGCTTCTCCTGTTAAAGTGTTTGAAATTCAAATGGTTTATGATGTTGACAATGTATTTGTTGATTTCTGTTCTGGGAATTTCAGCATGCTTTCTACTGTTTAAGTGACTTTTCATTGTTGGCAGCCAATTTAAATTTGTATTATGTTAAAATGTGTTATTGGCCAGTACACTAATATGCAAAATATTGTCTGTTTTGGAAAATTTTGAAGGGTCAAAAATCAAAGTATTTAAGGTTGGTTAATCTTCACTGAAGTTTTATGTCCTAAAGTACTGGAGTCTGCAGCTGCACATACTGTGAAATTTACATTTTGGAAAAAATAACGCCTTTTCTTTTCTTTATACAGGGTTATTCAAAAAGAATGAACTGACTTCATTACGCAATATTTTATTAAGGAAAAGTAATACAAAACTCCAGCCAAGGTACAAGTATTCTACTCACAATCAGCTTTTATTCCCTGTTTTACAAGTGTTCAATGTGGCCGCCACCTGCTGCGCGGGCAACATCAATGCGATAAGAGAATTCCTCCCAGGAGCGTATTAGCATATCATGATGCACTGAGTTGATCGCTGTTGTTGTGGCCACATTGAACACTTGTAAGACAGGAGATAAAAGCTGATTGTGAATAGAATACTTCTGACTTGGCTGGAGTTTTTGTATTTTCCTTAATAAAATATTGCGTAATGAAATCGGTTCATTATTTTTGAATAACCCTGTATTTGTCCAATTCACGGTTTTATTTTGAAGGTATAGACCGGAAGTAGTCTCCCTTCACCTCCAGATTAATAGACTGCCTGCCAATATTAGAATGTTTTGAATAGTTCGTTTTTAAAAAATGGTTAATATGTTGTGTTTCATTAATGGGTAACTAATTGGAGGACACCTGTTAACCGGACTTTGGCCTACAGCTCGCACTGTGACTGAGCTCGACGAGCCAGCGGGGACGTTACGTAAGCGCGCAGCTACAACAGACACTTAAACAGCCAGGCCGCGAAGCTTCTGTTGGAAACTTTCCTGTCCCGCTACAGCGCATGAGAACGGCGTGTCTTCACCCACACTCTGCACAGACATGTCTTTTTACAGCAACAGTGCGCGTTTTAACGAGGCCAGGAGAGTCGCTGTTTTCGGTGGGACACACGGAAATGAAATGTCAGGCGTGACGCTCGTTAACTTGTGGATGAAGAACAGCGCCGAGATCCAGAGGAAGGGGGTCGAGACAAAACCGTTCATCACCAACCCGAAGGCTGTGGACACATGCACCAGATATGTGGACATGGATCTGAATCGAGCCTTCACGCCAGAAAACCTCAGGTAAACACACCGACGCATTGTCACTGCTGGATGTTGTTGCACCTTCCAGGTGTTGCACATATTGAGTGGAAACTTTTACATGCAACGGATCCGCAAAACAGACTGACAATTAACAACAGACTTTTGATTTGTGTTAAGCCCAGTCTTATAAAAGGCATGGGCAAGGTGCCACCTGTGGCTTGGTCTGAACTGTCTTATCTACATTTTTTATTGTGCTTGGTGTGTTGAGAACAAAATCACTAAAGTCAAACTTATTATTGTAGCTACTTGAGATCCACGCTAATCTCAATAATTAAATTATGGTCAGGTGTTAGAGCCGTGAAGATCTGACCACCGTTACTGGAAATGCTGCAAAATGTAATGACAGCGCCAATTATATAAGATTATTGGCAGAACTGACCCTCCCCAGCAAATAAAAGAAATGTCAGGATCTCTGGCGTATAGAATGCAATGTTAACACTATAAATTAAAACAATACAGTTTGGACTGATGAATGAAGTCACAGTTATGGAAGACAGTGAAAAACAAGGGTAACATTAAACTACAGCCATAGCATGTAAAGTAGGCTTCACACTGTCCGTGTTGGGATAAATACTATAAAACAATCCAGTGGACATTTCCATCACACAGTTATCACAGGTCACGAATACGTGTCAACCATCGGCCACGTCTCCCTCCACCCCTGGACCACTAACAGGCCACTTGGCAGGATAGTGACCGAGCTTCACGTTATTTAGGGCGATGTATTTTTATTTGTAGTTTTTGGAAAGGTAAGTAAGTGTTAAGCAAACACTGCCTCATATGTTAGTATGCATGACCTACTCGTGAATCATGACTGGAGTCCTGTAAGAACATTCCCAAGGTTATTGCAGTGTTGGGTTGTAATTATTATGTGTGTAGTGTGGTATCACCACAATATATCAGCATGGTGCCCAAGGACAAGTAGACACCCTTGCATAAATCATTAAACACACCTGGTGGCTTTCCCTGAATTATCTGATAACCTGTGAATGTCTTGGTGTCTGACTGCTTTCTAACACTGCATATGCCCTGCAGCGCCCCTGGAGGAGATGACCTGCCCTATGAGGTGCAGAGAGCCCAGGAGATCAACAGGATGTTTGGGCCTAAAGGAAGCCCAGAAGCCTATGATGTTATATTTGACCTCCACAATACGACGTCCAACATGGGATGCACTCTGATTCTGGAAAGCTCCAAAGACCACTTCAACCTGCAGATGATGACCTATATTAAGGTGACAGCCTTGAGGAATGCACTGGAGTTTTTCAACACTGCAGCACAAGCACTCCTGTGTACAGCTACTGTGTCCTGAAGACCTGCTGTCATGTTTGCAGAAAGTAAAGATTATTGGTGAAATTCAATACCAGACATCAGTGAGGAATATATGTGTTGTTGCACATATTGCATATAAAGCACAGTATGCAATGTGTTAAGAAACAGGCCAGCTTGTCTAAATGAAAGGCTAAAGGTGATTGGGGTTCACTGGTTTCCTCTCAGTTCAGTCTGAGTCAGTGTTTTACTGAAATGAGGCTTCTCTGCGGATGTTCAGTTAACCTCTGTCAATGATAGTGGTCTGTTTGCCATTATATGTGGCACAAGGTCATCTAAAGGATCATCCATCTAAATTCTCCAGATGGATGCCTGTTTCTCTGCATGTGGTTGAGCCACAAATCTCTGATAAACCTGAGGAACTGGAGTTTTTCAACACTGCAGCACAAATCTCTGATAAACCTGAGGGGATGCCTTCTTTGACTGTTTTATACTTAGCCATAAAAGATATTCAGCTCTTCCCTGAAGATGATGCACACAGTATGTGTAGCATTTCACTTGTAGTAAATATATATAGTTTGGGAAAATTAGTATAATAACTTATTGTCATATTTATTATCATAAATGGAACAGAGTATATTGCACTAACTCTGTTACTGGCACTTGCTCCTCAGAACAAACAAAGGCATGCCGAGCAATAGCAGGGAGCAGAAAAGGAGCCAAAAGCAACATACATCTGCAGATAGAAGACTGACTTCAGAAGTAACCCATGAACAAGCTCAGTATGCATTCATCAAACGTGTTGTTCAGTGACTCATTGCGTGGCCCTGTGCTGGATAATAAACTGAACTTTGAGTATTTTAGTATCAGCAGTAGTTCTTCTGTCCAGGAACTTCCCCAGACTGAACTTAGAATTTGTTTCATGGAAAGTCGTGTCCTGGTCTAAAGACAAAAATTGGTGGAAAAATATCCGTTAAGTTAGCTGTTATCTAAACCACTGACATTTTTAGAGAGCCTGGTTGGATTGTTTCACGCACAGTGGTGATGGTGATTTTCCACACAGGAATCAGAGGGCTACTGGCACTGAAAGGTTTGAGAGCTTACCGGCCTGTATGTGATTCATACACATGGTCAATTTGTTTGTTGTAGTATGTGTCATAATTCCACTGTCAGTTGTTGCGGATGTGTTAATTTTCATTTTATCGAGCAGAACCATAACACAGTCACTCACTGTTTGGTCTGCTGAAGACAGTTGCTGATGTGAAGGTGCATTTTTATCTGCAGCTGTTGATTTGTTTCTGTTGGTTTTGTCTTACAGAAAGCCATCGCTCCAGACACTTGTCTTGTTCTGCTGAACGAGCATCCTCTTCTAAAATACTCCACCACACGCTCAGTAGCCAAGCACCCTGTTGGTGAGTCTCCAAGGTCCAGCCACAGTTCTCTGGGGTCAATGACAGCAACAGGTTAAGAAAGTTGGGGTGGCAGACAGGGCTACAGTTTTAAAGAAGAGGGGCACATCTGTAAAATGAGTAAAAATTTGTTTAAAGCCCTGGTTCTTGGCAATAACAAACTGTACATTATTTATAGTTGCATTGTTTATTCAGTGTAACAGATGAATGTCAAACAAGCAACTTTAAATATCCTAATAGGAAAAAATATCAAGCATCTGTATCTATATGGACAGATAATGAAAGAAAATACTCAAAATGTTTCATTCTCTTGTCTTTTTGTGGTTTATCCATCTCTCCTGCTCTTTTTGTAATTGTTCATCTCTTTATGGTTGTTTTTCATTATTTTGTGTCTCTTTGTACTCATATTTCATCTCTGTACGTGTTTTAAAGCCCTTTGTTATCATTTATTTGTGTCTTATTTTAGTCATTTGCATGTCTTTGTAGTCATTTTGTCTCTTGGTGGTTCATCCGTTTGGCCAGATTGAGTCCATCTTTGTCTTTTTTTCCCTCTTTGTGCTCATGTTGCTGTAGTTTTCCTACAATAAATGTTTAACAGTGATGTCATATAGCGCCTCTGGTTCAGTAATGCATCCATGATAATAATAAGCCAACTACCTTTGATTCCCTGACTCTGATAGGGGGGTCACCAAATCAGATTTCACCCCTCTGGCCTCGCCTCTGGACAGTTAACAAAGGACATTTAAGATCCATTCAGTTGGTAGAATATACCTTTATTTATGTCTTCTGATTGGTTATTTGCAGGTCTAGAAGTGGGTCCTCAGCCTCAAGGTGTATTGAGGAGTAACATCTTTGAAGCTATGAGAGTAATAATCAAACATGCCCTGGACTTCATCCAGCTGTTTAATGAAGGTAGGACATACCACAGCAGTTTAACATTCTAAGCTCTAATACAACAATGTACAATATAGTTGAATATGAACATACAGTACACAGCCAGTGAGTTAGTTCACTGTTATTAAAGGTTGCAGGAAATTTGAAAGTATCAAACTCTCTCTGTGAAATTTTGATTTAGAGATGATTGTTATGATTTCTGATGTGTGATGTAATGTTTACAGTCAGCCTGCTTGCTTGTCAGCATCATTATGACATGTAACATTTTGGGACAAAATGCTCATGGGTGCTTGTCTCATTCATCCCGATGTACCTACACCCAGATCTCTAAATGTATCTTTGTCTGGCTCATCACACCTCTGCACAGCTCCTTCCTGAAGGTGTGGAACAGCGTTTGCCATGCTTAGGTGAAAGGCAACTTTTCCTTCCTCTTTTATGTAAACTAGAAGTCTGTGCCAAGTGTGACTTTGCAGTCTGTTGGTTTTCCCTAGCTGTCCTGCAGCTGAATGGCCTGCTTGTAGGGACCTGGTCAGTTTCCATGTCATTAGAGTCTGGCTGCCAAGGCTGTGGTAATCTTCTGTCGTGGGGCCACCCTGGTGCTGATGAATGTTTTGGCAGAGTGATGAGCTGTGTCCCTACATGTTAAAACTGAGCAGCCTGAAAAATCAGCTCACTTTGCAGCAGCAGTAACAACATTGACTTTCTCTGAAGAATAACCATCATACAGATTAGGTGGGGGAAAAAAATCTCAACTGGGGTCTTTCAGGTTGTACACTCGCAAAGCCAAGGTCAAAGGTGCGCTGTCTCTAGCGTGCTGATGACATCATAGTTTGCTGAGAGCCGCAGAGGGACTAGCTCTTGGGCTAACATACACAGCAGCCAGAAACACAGCAGTATGCTGCTCTCTTGCTAGATAATAGGGCCGACATTTCAGCAATAAAAACTCCACGTCCGTACATCTCCACACCACGAGTTACTAATAAACACACACACCGCCTCCTTTTACCTTCCCCAAAGCAGCAGTGCGATCTCCCCGATGTACAGAGTGGGTCTGTAGCTGAATCGCAGAGTCTGGGACTTTCTCAGAAAGCCAAGTCTCGATGAGAATTAGAGCACAGCATTCTCTGATTTCCTGTTGTGTTGTAATCCTAGCCCTTAGCTCATCCAATTTGTTTTCCAGAGACTGTACGTTAGCCAGGGAGAGGCTGGTAGTGGCGGTCGGGTAGCGCGAGCTTTTAGCTTAGCATGGAGCCCTCCTCTCTTGCCCCGTCTGCGTCTCTATCTCTGGATTGCTGTCCTGGGGTCAGCCTGCTCACTCGTGCTTGGTGCTTCGGGGCCTTCTTGGGAATGATGGTGATCGTTGTTGTTCTTGCTGCGGGAGCGGACGATGAGTTGTAGCTCCGGTGGTATGAAACCAGTAAATTCCCAGTGGCTGTATGAGTTGGTGATATCCAGCAATCCCTGTCTGTTGTATGTTAGCAGTGCATGGCATTTGTGCACTGTAGAAAGAGTAAAAAAGAAGAAAACGAAGAAAAAGCCGGCATTTGGGAGTGGAACGTGCAAACATGTCTGCCGCGGAGGGCGCCATGATGGTAACCAACTGATTATTGCTGTTGTCTTTTGTCAGATGTGCATTGCCATCCCATGTCCTCATGGTCCACATATAAAATATATTTATTCTACTTTTTTTGTGTTGTTGTTGTTGTTGCTTTTTTCAGTTTAGTTTTTTAACTTAATCTCAGGTTGCTTTTATTTCAGCACATCTAAAAGTCGTCCACCAGTGGAGTAAGTGTGGACTGATTTAAATAAAATAACATGCTTTTATGTGTCTTTCATCCATTAGCACATTTTATTGCTTTCACAAGGCACATACTGACAGCATATTTTATTCATTGTACTTTACTCAATATAAAACTCTTTGTACTTCACTGTCTTTGTGTTTGATTTCTGTTTTTATTGTATCTGTTCCTATTGTGTTCATTGCAGCACTGAAAGATGCGACATTGTTCCTCTGTATACAGAGTATTGTATATGAAGAGAATGACTTGAACTTCTGTCTTGAATGTTGAACTGGCCTCTTCAAAATGCATGGCATAAATGTGTATGCATTCATAATCATCTTAATTTCCCAATTAATGCTCTTCCAGTGTGTTTGTTTCTGTAGAGCAGTAGGAGTATTAATATCTGACATGTATGACAACTTTATGTTTTTGGGTTGTCCATCTGCCCACCCCCTTTCTTATGAATATGAATGCTTTTTGTTGTATATTTGTTTGTTTTCCCCTCTTTCTGTTATACACACACTATTACCTTAAATGAGTATATTATGCTCAGTCAACCTACCCTGTATAAATAGATAAAATACCGGGAATGCCTTAAAGCAATTTCTTCACATTTGGCATAAATGTCCCCCTGGACTTAATGATGAACTGGTTAGATTTTGGTGGTCAAAGTTGGTGAAGGCATACAACCACAAAGTGGTAATGCTGGTTTGATTTGTACTTTTATTTCACTCTGCTATGAAAACCTATGGACAGGTATGTCATAGCCATTCTGTTCAGTGTTGTTTAATTAGCACTTTTTTCATAAGGCATTGTCTTATATATGTATTCATTGGTTGCTTCCTATAAGTCTGTGGCAGCTGACTGTTTGGAAGCCAGTTGTTCCCTCTTCTTCACTGGAAAACAGTTTGAAAGTATGATGTAATCCCACATATAAGACTGTACATGTTGTTTCCGGTGTGTCGTTTAGGCATGGAATTCCCTCCCTGTACTGTGGAAGTTTTTCAGGTCTCAGAGAGGATCGACTACCCCAGAGATGCCAATGGCAACATCATTGCCATGGTGCACCCCAGTCTTCAGGTAAAAAATTGAATTGGGAATTATGGCTGCCTTCACTCTCTCACCCATATGTTTGACCTATTGAACTTATAAATATGAGTCATTACAAAAGAGAATATAGAGACATCTTTAGCTGATATGACAATATATATTACTGTAGTTTGAGCAGCATACTCCCGCAGTGGTTATTGCTTGTTGTTTCAGGACTGTGACTGGGAGCCACTAAACCCCGGTGACCCTATGTTCCAAACGTTTGACGGAAAGACCATCCACTACCAAGGCTCTAGCACCATCTATCCCACTTTTATTAATGAGGCAGCCTATTATGAGAAACAACAAGCATTTGTAATAACCAGGAGAGAAACCTTGGTAGCAAGTGCCATCAGAAAAGCATGAACACTGCTTCGTAAGGCGACCAGCAGTCATGAATATACAATCTGAGTACAGGTTTTGCACTTTGCTCTGTTAGAAAATGACACTTTCCTCATATTATAGCTAGTTTTTTTATGTTTGCTATCTGAAAATGAATTAACTATGCAAAGAATATTTGTGGAGGCTTTGCAGATGAAAGTGTTTAATCTGAAGACTGGCATCATTGTGGTACATATTTGATATTTAAAAATATATTTACATCATATCAACTAAGATTATATAAAATGAGAAGCCAAGCCTTAATCACTGATAGATTATGACTCATTCTCTAACTCTCTTTAAGACACTGAGGATCATAACCTGCTATTTCTGACTCAAAACTGTAGCTGGTTGTCTTCTTCTCAAAATATATTTGTAATATCTTTAGGAGGGTGCTTGTGGCCTTTCATTCTTCCTTCATGTGTAACTCCAGTGGTTGCATCTCTGGTGCTTCCTATTTTTGCCTTAATAGAGATGAAAATTGCACAAGAAATTTGGAGTGGAATCTGTAGATTATCTATGTTGGATAACAAGATATTTTGAGAACAAATGGTATATGTTCTGCTCCTCTGTACAGGCAGATGCACTTTGAAACACATTTTGTAATATATTTGTGTCTATACTGAAATACTTCTACCCTATGCTTGGTTTTTAAGAGATGTAGAGGAATTGTTGAATCATGGTACTTTCTGATGCTTTTACACCTTTGTTATCTCAAAGTGTATGACTCACAGTAATTGATTTATTATTCAGCAGTATTTTGATAGCACAATTTTTTTGATTAGTACAATTCACAGACCTTGATATCCTATGGAAATTATCCAATCAATAAACATAGTACTATGGTATACTTGCCTCTTTTTATTGGTTGCAGATGTGCATTTCATACACAGCTGCTTTGACTCCTCATGTTTGTTTTGTCTGCACCCACAAGAAAGAGGGCATCACAATCACTGACTGAAATTCTCTCCTTGTGACTCACTCGGTTGCAACACACAATATACTGGAATCACCAGTCAGTCAAGGAATTTATCCATTAACTATTTCAGAGCACTGCTCCCTTTGTCTCAGAAGCACAGACCTAGAGTAGAACTCAAATGCTAGATGTTTAAATCTGGCCTGTATTACATGTACATTAAGTTTTATGCATTTGTAAGAACCTCTATACTGAAACTCTTTATGGAGTCATTAGAGATATGTAATTTGCATCATTTACAACATGTCTTGTAATGTAGAGCATTTACAAGACATCTGAAAGCCTAACTTGTATCACTTTTTGTTTTTTATGCACTAATTTCAACAAAGCAGTACGTCTTTGGCACAGAACACACTACTGACATTATGGAGTTAGACATCTTCTGTATATACTGTACATATGATGTTGCAGATAACCTGTTTAGTGTTTGTAGAACACCCACAGCTGTGTTTACAATGATGCATCATCTTTCAGAATATAACTGTAGATTTGGACTCATTAATATCTGCCCGACACTACTGGATGCTACTTATTCACAGCAGTGAATCCCATTCACTGAATACTGTAAATTAGATGTGTCAGGATTCTGGGACATCTGGAAGGAGGCTGAGATGTTTAGCAAAACATTTAAAAAATATTTTCACTTGTGTATGAATGGTTGGATAACATCACTGTGTCTTATTGTGTGTGCCACTAAGAATACCACAGTATGTACATTTAGCATGATATCTCATTGCATTGGTGCATTATTTGCCTTATTATGCACCTCTGGTCAGTGCGGTACATCTAGGTTTGGATCAGGTAAATGGTGAATTTGTTGCTTGTTGAATTAAAGCAAATTTGGAATAAAATGTAATTGATGGAAATGATATTTTTATGACTGAATATCCACCAGTTCTCTGTTATTGCCTTACTCTGTCTACCATTTCCCCATGAACACAGCTACCCCTACATGTTATGTTTCTCTTACTGTGAAACAATCATATCAGTAAAGTATAAAAGGTATGATCACCTGAACTGAGACTGCATTCTACAAACTGTCTATATTAAACACTTGTAGAATAGTCACAGGAGTCCATAGTTGACTACAGACTGGTCATAGCCCTTCTTATCTATTTATTAGAATGACACACTCAGGAATCCCAGGCTTGCAGCTGATCCATGATTCCTCCTGGCTACTGGAAGCTTTTAAAAGAATAATCTTTCAATGATGGGCAGGGATCCAACCGGGCACTCAAAAATCAGTCTCTCTCTCTAGTGACAACTTTCTCCTCTGTTATTATTGCAGTTCTGTTTTACTGAAGGTCTACTGCTTGGATGCTTAATAAGTTATATCTGGGTGTGGCTATAGTACATGGGTCATGCTGAGAATAAGGGGAAATGGCTGATTTGTAACACTGATAACAATCTACAATTCCATCTGTTATCCAGGAGGAATCATGGATGCAGTTGATAAGTTTAACAGATTTTTTGTGAATGTTGGCCCTAGTTTAGGAAGAAGTATTTGTACAGATGCTTCAGCCGTCACTAGAAATAATAATACAGTTGAAAAGAACATGAGTTCTATGTTCTTGAAGCCAATAGTTGAAAAGGAAATTATAGAGAGAGTAAATAAATGTGATAACAAAACATCCAGTGATAGTGATGGTATCACTATGACAACTGTTAAATGGGTAATTAAAGAGATAGGCAAACCATTAACCCATATTTTTAACATGTCATTTCGTCTTGGGCAGTTCCCTAACAATATGAAAATTGCAAAGGTTATTCCACTGTATAAATCTGGTGATAAACACAACTTCACGAATTATAGGCTGGTTTCTCTGTTGTCACAATTTTCAAAAATTCTGGAAAAACTCTTTAATAACAGATTAGATACATTTATTGACAAACATAAAATCCTCTCTGATTGTCAGTATGGTTTTAGGTCGAACCGATCGACATCTTTGGCCATTACCGACCTGATGGAGGACATTACAAGTGCTATGGATGAGAAGAAATATACGATGGGGATATTTATTGACCTAAAAAAAGCATTTGACACAATCAATCATGAATTATTAATGGATAAGTTAGAAAAATATGGGATCAGAGGAATGGTTCTGAAATGGATTAAAAGTTATTTGACACAGAGGCATCAATTTGTGAAGTTGGGTGAATACCAATCGAGTGAGCTGGACATTGTATGTGGAGTGCCTCAAGGTTCAGTTTTGGGACCTAAATTATTCATACTATACATTAAC